GATATTAGCTGGGGTGCAAATCTCTGTAGAGGAGCGCTTTCGTTTCCCGTTACTTCTGTTCGTACAATGAAAATGAAGCTGGAATGACACCTAGTGGCAAATTGTAGTGTGTCCTTGTCCCAGTACAGCCCACTTCTGGTTACGTTCCCACTGTTTCTGGGCGAGATGCTCTGGGTTTGGTGTGCCGAGTGATGGTCCTGCGCCACACCTGCAGTCCTAGATGTTCAGCAACCTTCTCAGCATGGCACCGTTTTCTCCCAAAGAACAGCGTTTTGGCCCGCACAGGGACGAGCACGAGCCCTTGTGCACCCACTGGGAAGGGACCCTCGATGCTGGGGAAGAGACGTGTGCGGTCAACCCCCCAGTGGCTAAAGGAGACGCTCACCAGCACCCCGCCTTGGGGAGGCATCCGAGGGGACACTGGGAGAAAGCAAAGACTAAAGATGCTGAGGCTGGAAGCGGGGGGTTTGGGACTTTCTCCCATCATGAGGCACGATGGAGCAGCCCAGGGTGTTGCTTCTCAGCGTATTCTGTTTCGGGGAAATGCAGCTTTAAGGAGTAACGGGAATCACGGTTGATTGTCTTTTGGAACTTAGCTGTACTGTGTAAAACAATCCCGTCGTTTTGTCCTGGGAGTTTGGCTGCTCTCTTGGGGGAGAGAATTACGGCTTCAAAGAACGTGGCCTGTTGATTCTTTGATTTTTTTTTTTTTTTTTTTTGGAGGGGTTTTGGAATTGAATGTGAAAAGGTCTTCCAGAAATAACGTTAGGTGGTCTGCAGACTTGCATCCAGATTTTTGAGTATGTAATGGTATTTTTCTGTGCATTTTGCTAAAACAGCAATTACTTGTCCATGTTTGATTTACTTCTCATCCTTCTCAAGCTTCTAAAAACCAACGTGTCAACCCGGTGGCGGTAGAAACCCCCCCCTTCCTTCAGCCCAGAAGAAGTCTCTGCTGTTTAACGCTGAGATTGTGATAGCATCCAGATGCTCCTTGCCAGTTCCTGGACTGCGTTGTTCCTGGAAACGAACAACCATACGTGAGGGACAGCTTTATAGCCTTGTGATGAGCGTGAGCCCAGACAAAAGGGCTCTGACCTGCTGGCTTCGGTAGTGATGTGGAAACCAGCGGCGGCTTAGGGCCTGCGTTACTTATTTGTTTTGGAAATGATAAACCCTCAAACTCTTAACTTCTTTGGAATTTGGATATTTTCTTCTTTTAGATCAGATATTTTCTGCTCTGGTAACTTACATTCTTCCTTATACCCTGCTCTGTTTCTCAGTCCTGTTTTCTACCAGGGTGTTTGGCTGAAGTACTAGTGTTAAGTCAACTTTTATGTAATGCACAAACTGGAACAGGCATCGTGGTTAACTCAGCTACTGGGCAGCACCTCTGGATTTGGCTCTGCAGGAGCCCTGGTGAGTCCTGGGGCAAGGTAAAAGCATCCGTGTGGTGCCTTGCAGGTGGGAGAAGGCTCCCTTTGAGGACCCTGCAGTGCCGGCTCAGCTCAAGATGATCTTGTACAACCTAGGACAGCTAGTGCGTGGCTGTTACAGGCCTCTTACTAGACTGTGTGGGGCCGTAGTCTTATTTTAAGTGGCGATACTAAAGATTTGGAGGGTTTGAGGTAGGGTAAATGAAAATCTCAATTGCTTGACTTATTTTAGTTTTCTAAATGATGCAAAGCAACACAGAGATTGGCTTTTGGAAGGGATCACACCCTCTGGAGGAGTCGCAAACCGTTTTCTGGCAGCAGTGTGAGCCCTTGGATTTGCAGGGAGGGTGGTCGTGTCCTCACCAGCTCGGCTTCGTCCTGGAAAATATCACAAAGTGCCTGTACCACTCGGTGCGGGATACCCAGCCCCGAGTTGCCTACACCACTCTCGGGAGGTTTTTGGTGCTTTTTCTGGCCGCTGGGTCTCCTCTTTCGGCCTGGATTAAGAATGCAGCTCTTGGGTGCTGCGGAGGCAGGTGCCTGCATGTCAGCTGTGCCTTACTGAGCAGTAAATTTGCCAAAAAAAAAGAAAGAAAAAAAGAAAAAAGTGAAGCTGCAGGGATGCGCGGTGGCAATGGCATCACGGAGCTTGGTACCTTCCACCCTCGGTGTCCCTGTGGTGGGGGGATCACGGGAGGCAACGGGCTGCTGCCGGCCTGATGACGTTTCTTCCCTTCTCCCGCTGTCCTCCCCCGCACCGTAATACTGTAGATCCCTCGTGTGTGACGGGCGAGTTACTCGCTGCCGTTGCAAATAGCGTTGCGCTGTGTTTCTCTGCTGAGTGTGGAGGAGATCCACAGCCCCAGCGAGGTGCGTTAGAAACAAGCAGCTCCTGCGAGCACGCCCAGACGCCCTGAGTTTTCCTGTTGCCTTTCACTGCGGAAAGACACCTCCCGGGAAGCTCTCGGGACCAGAGGTCTTCCGGCACTTGCTGTTATTTTCGGTCACCAAATTGCCGGTGCTGGCTCGGAACGGTTTGGAAGTAAGTCCGGTCGCGTCCCGTTAGTCTCCTAGCAGGGCTGGTTCGAGAAGCAGCCAGTCCTGTGCCTTGCCTTTTGAGTCCTGTCTTTACCCTAAGGACTGTCTTGTAGGATGAGGTCCGAACCATTGTAATTAGTCTGTAACGTTACGATTAGAGTGTACAGAATTATTTATTTTGTGTACTCGGTCTGCTAAACATGTAAATGTATTCTGTGTACCCCGTGGCTCTGCTGTCGTTACTGCTGGCTCGTGGATGGCGCACGGGCTGACTGCTGAAAGGCTGTGAACGAGGGTCAGTAAACGCATCGAAAGCCAGGAGCTGCTCGCCCCTCTGATACGTTCCTGGAGCACAGCAAGGAGGTACCAAAGTGCCCGTGAAAGAGTTTGCTGGTTTCTTTAACGCAGCTGCCAGGCCAGGACCTGCCTGAGGGAGACCTTGTGTGCGGGGCTGGGATGTCCGCAGGGACGCTCCAAGTGAGTTGGGCTCTCGGCCTCTTGCTGGAAGGCAGGGTCCGGAGGTTGAACAGGCACTTTGGGACATTTTCTTCACTTTTCTCTGACTGCAAGGTGAGAAATACCAAGGAAATACCCTGGTTTGCCTACAGCGACTCGCCACCTCTCCGGTTTCGCTCTGAGCAGCTTTTACTGACCAACAGGCAAACCTGTAATACCAAGTGAAAAATGCATGCTCCTTTCGAACCGCCGCCTCCTGGAGGTGGGGTGATTTTTCAGGGCCAAGGGGCCCCGTCCCAGCGGTGGTAGGGGTGACAGTGACCTGAACACAGGGAGCAAATGACCCGGTGCTTCAGTTCATTAATTCCTGCTTGCAGCTCCATGCGGCCACCGGTTTCTTCCGCCCTTATGGTCCATCCCCACATCTCTGACGTTCAACTGTCTTTAAGGTCATTTAGGAGCTAACTAAAGCCAAAAAAGAGTGCGCTGCTTTCATGTGGTGGGTTTTATTTCGGGTACCGCGGAGCGGAAGCACACTCTAAACGTCGTGGCAGACCCGTGGGACCGGTGTGTACCTCGTGCAGCTGCTACCGCCGGCCTTAGGGGAGGTTTGCAAGGAGCTCGGCCCCCGTGCCCTTCTCCCCTGAGTCCCAGGCGAGGCTTTCCAAGGCAAAGGAGCCCAAGCCAAGCAGCTTCACGAGTTTCTCTGCAAGCCCCTGTTCCCCCATGTCAGTTTGCTCCAGTTGCTCTTGCTCCCTGCAGAGCAGACCACTAAATGAAGCTAAATTTTAGCCAGCCAAGCTAAAACTTACCAGCCCTGGGCTGTACTTGAGCAGCTTTTTTATTTTTTATTTTTTAAACTCCAGCATATGGGCCGACCTTTTTGTCCTTTTACCTTCCACTCATGGTCTATAACCCTTCCCACGGGTACGTCTCTGTGTGGCGTCATGCTTTCTCTGCGACTGCTTGGTTAGAGAGCGATTACAACATTTTGGGGGCTGTGATGCACGCAGCAAAGGTTTTATATCGCGTTCACAACACTGGTAAAGAAAAAAAACCCCACGCCTCATGTTGGGATGGTCTGATCCTGCTCCTCTCCACAGCGTCCTCGTGACCGGCTCTATTTGGAGCTGCCAGGCACCAGGTTTTAACTCGTTGACCGTGTGTCAACACAAGACTTTTTTCTTTTTTCTTTTTTTTTTCTTTTTTTTGTACCTGCCATTGTCTCAAGACCCCGTTTGGGCGACAACGCTGCCTGCTTCTGAAAACCTTCGCCTGGCCTTGAATTTTGTTTTCAGCTTCAGATTTTCCTTTGAGATGGCCTCGAGTTTCCCGCCCTGTTACCTGGCAGATCTGCGCGTGTGAAGCAGCCAGCTGTTCTCCAGCTGACCCCCTCCATCTTCCCGAAGAGCCGGAGCTGCCCTTGGCATTTCTCCCTTCCAGCTCTGTGTTCCCAGGCTGTTACACAAGTCACAGCTTTAAATTGCAGGCAGGGAATCTTTTAAGATCCTGTGCCCCCACCAGCACCCGCCCTCCATCGCAAGCCGAGAGGTGCTGGCCGGTGCTCGGCCTGGTGAGCCCGCAGCTCCACAGTCCCTTCCCTGGTGGGACCGCTTGGTGCCGGAGACCTTGCACCCGGGTCGGTGGAAAGGACCATTCCAGGTGACTTCACCCACCCTCAGCGCTGCGGTGGTCTCTGGGCTGGTGCCGGGGCGTAGGTCCGCGTGCTCGAAGACCCCCTGAGCAGCCCTCGAGCCGCAGCCAGCCCTGCTCCCCCTCTGCCTGCGCATCTTGTCCTGCCTTCGCACCTCCCCAGCTGGGCACCGAGCTCCAGCTCTGGGAGGTGCCGGGGTTCAGGAGAGGAGCGCGGGGTGCCCCAGGTTTCCCCCGCGCGCCTTCTACACCGGTCTGCATCGCACAAGGAAAGGAGCCAGAGGCAGCGCTTGGCACAAGCAAATGCTGACATTTTATTATGAAGTGGGGTGCCTTGCTTCCAGCTCAGCCCCTTGCCGGCTCTGCCGAGCTCACCGTGCCGGGAGCAGCGCCCAGCGAAGGGATCCCTCCGGCGCTGACTCTATCCCTGAGCAACAACGTAGTCGATCCAGTTTCGGAACCGGCTTACGCGGGTGTAGATGGCAGGCATGTGGACGTTGCAGTTGCTGTTTCCCCAGGAGACGATGCCGATCAAGGTCCAGACGTTCCCGTTCTGGTATACCAGAGGTCCGCCAGAGTCACCCTGCGGAGAAGACGCCTCCTGCTTAGTGGTCCCGGCACGTGCCCCAAACTGGTCCCTGCCACCCCAGCCACCTGGTCCCCTGGACACGGCCAGGTGCTATAGCTTCCATCTCTGGCTCCGTAGATGCAAGACCCGACATGTCCTCCTCCTCCTCCTCCATCCTCCCCGCGGTGCAGCGGGACCTCGGCTCCTTACCTGGCAGGAGGAGGCGCCGACCCCGCCGGCACAGAGCATGGAGCTGGTGATCCGGTTGCCCCAGTGCTGCATGCACTGTCTCGGGGAGATCAAGGGCAGGGTTACCTGCTGCAGGCGCGCTGCCAAGGCTTGGGCTGGGGGAAAGAAGCACCGTTAAATGGCCCCGGTGTCAGCGGGTCTCCCGGGGCCTTTGGGAGCACACGGGCAACCCTGGGTGAGCTCCTGCTGGTGCTCCCAAATATGGGTGCTGCCGTGCAAAGCACCTTCCCCCTCCGTGCCAAAGTTACTCCTTCTTCCCCGGGCGTGATCGTCTCCTGCAAGCAGCCCCGAGCAAGGGCGAGCCCGTGCGCAGTCGCCCCTGGGGTACGCACGCATCCGCCGCCTCAGCACACACCTACACCCGTGCTTGCACCAATGGATGTGTATGCACGCTTGTACGTGCCCAGACAGGGTTACTCAACTGCCCAACTTCCCCCCTCCCCACATGCACACGAGGTGTCACCCCCCCGGGTGCCCACGGACC